ATGAACTTTTATTTATGGTATCTAGACTTTATGAATTAAAGTGCAGTACTAGATTGGCAGAAAGGTCTCATCATTTTGCAGTTGAAAGGTCAGTCAATAATTTATACACACCACACACACACACACACACACACACACACACACACACACATATATGTATTAGTACATATATGCATACCTACATTTTGGCGTGCAACTATAGTTTTCTTTGTGGTGTTCCCAGTTCATTGGGCATAGGGTCTATGTTGCTGATAAACCCCATGCCCGATGAACTGGGAACACCACCCAGCGAAGCTATAGTCGCACGCCAAAATCATAGGTACACGTATATGTACTAATTAATACATATCTTTACTCTGTATAACCACATTGAGCACTATTACGTTTACACCTCATGCATAAATTTAACAATTATTTTTATTTATTTGCTTGTCTGCATATGCACACCAGCACATGCATTAACACCTGCTTCTATTTGGTCATTTCATTTATCCACTCTACAACTATATATATATATATATATATATATATATATATATATATATAGCCAGCATTAAATATTCATTATACATTTTATGTTCTTTGCATACTGGCAAGCTGCTATATATTTTTATTAAATGCTTTCTAACCAATTATTATGTATCATTTTATTTAATTTTCATGTTCTTTCTTTAATGCTATCACCTGTCCTAAGTAAATGTACTTCTGGATTTTCTCCAGTTCTTCATCCTCTATTTATATTTATTCTTTGAACCATTACAGTTGAACATTTGTTACATTTCTGTTTATTTTTAGACTGACCTTGAGACTTTCTCTAATTTGATCATTTAGCATTTCTTCATTCAGGTGTTAGTAAAATGTTGTTGAACTCAATAATAATAATAATAATAATAATAATAATAATAATAATAGCTCGTTCTCATTCTCTATTTTTTGCTTTCTCTTCTTTTTCTTTCTTCTATTTTTCTCTCTATCTGTTTTATATCTTTTTCTATCTCACTTTTCTCCTTTCCTTTTCTTTCCTTTTTTTTCTCTCACTTTATATTTCTTTCTTCTCTCTTTTGTTTCTCTTTGCTTCTCTGTTTCTCTCATTCTCTTTCTTCTATTCTCTACCAGTCATTTTTTGTGTCCGGATTATTAACCTTTTAATATTCTTAATAGTAATCTTTACAAAGCTTATTTTAATCTATCTTAAATCAGTGAAAGTATCTCAAAAACTAAGTTGTAGATTTTGGGAGTTTAAACTCCAAAAATGTCCTTAATACACAGAGTCAGCTCTTCACGCCATTTGAAATGTTAGTGTGAATAACACTGAAAAGTTCCACAAAAGGTACTCATTCTTAAATTTTGTACAAAATGTCAAATTTGGGATAAACTAAATAACTCTTAACACTTTTTTAAATTATGGAAAAAAAAAGGTGCTATAAGTAAGAGAATAAATGAAATAATATGAAGTTATAACATAATTTGCAATTATTACTGTGAAAATTGAAAAGTGTGATGGTATTGTAAATATATTTAGACTTCTTTGTTTTGCTTTTTGGAAGTATCTCATTCCTAAGAACTTCTCTTTCTCTCCCTCTCATTTCTCTCATTCTTTCTTCTATACCTTTTTCTTTCTCTGATTATTATCAAACTCTTTCTCTCCCTCTTTCTTTTTTTTTGTTTTTTTTTATTTAAAGCTGGTTGGTTCTTTCATTCTCTGCATCAGTTTCTCTCTCTCTCTCTCTCTTTTTTATTTCTGTTTATTCCCTGTTTTTTACTTCTTTTCATCACTGTCAAAATCTTTGTATTGCCTTTTATAACTGAACTATCTTTCAACAATACCAAAAAGAATAAAATTTTAAACAATGACAAAAATTTTCTATATTTTTTTTATTCCCCACCTCCCAAACTTTTCTAGAAAGTTAATCTTGAAATCAGGCTTAGTTAAAAAATAATAATAATAATAATAATCACAAGAATTCTCATTTCACTTTGGTAATGTTTTACTTCATACTTTTTATTTTTTTTAAAATTGGATAAAAATACATGAAAGTTTAAGAAAGTCAAATGAGTACTCCCTCACTCCCTCCTATAACCACCATCACCAAGCAAAACAAAAAAAAAATTAGGATTAACCTACAAAGCATGAAAGACTCTCACAAAAACCGAAAAGAAAACCTGAGACAAGAAATGATAAAATACTGCTGACGTTGGTTGAATAAAGGTGAATAAGTCCATTTGGCTAGAATTGTAAATATTACCAGTATTACATGTCTGGTAGTCGTACTATTAAAATCAAGAAGAAGCAGAATCATCATAATCATCATCAAAATTATTATTATTATTATTATTCTTTGAGAGTTCCAACCATTAGTAGCTTGTGGTGAATTGACAGCAAGTCTCCTCAGTACTCTAAAACTCTTCATAGTATTCGAGCTGTTTTCAATAATACTGTCTTCTGAATGGTTCCATTTCATCCAACATTTTCCCCCCTCACTCTTTGGAACCATTCCAATACCCAGTAATGACAGGTATGATACAGGATTTTTTTAAACATTTCACCCCAAGCAAAGCAATAAGGCCACTAAGACACAAGGGGTTACTGAGTGTGAAAGAATAAGTAAAGAAAGAAATATTATTAAGAAGTGAGAACAATAAAAGAAGAAGAATCAAGTAAACAGTAGATAATGATTGACATTGCATTTACATTTTTGAAGATCAAAATTAGCTGGAAAGCATAGATCCAGAAGAGTGTTCCACAAGCAAGAAGTGCGAGAGAAGGAACTGTTAGCATAGAACTTATGGTCGGATCTAGAGAATTTGACTGTAAAACATCTGAGGGAATAAGAGATGAATATCATACCTTCCCTCAGAGCATATATGTGTGTGTGTGTGTGCGTGTGTGCGTGTGCGTGTGTGTGTGTGCATTTAGCCAATTCAACCATAAATTGATGAGACTTTGTTGCCAATCTAGTATTGTGTTTAAATTCATAAAGTCTAGGTACCAGAGCAGGAAGTTTATCAGAAGAATTACCATGAAAGTATTTATAGAAAAGGCACAGATAAGCTACATTTTGGTGATGAGAAAGTGACTGAAACCAAGATCTCAGGTCAGGACCAATCTTCAACTCTCAGAGAACATGTTTCATTCTCAAGAAGAGATTTTCATCTGTGCATATACTACTGGTTTGTCTGGTCAAAATCTAATCAATTGCACAGTTGTCAGCGGATGACCCTTCCCTCCCAATCATGCCTTTTCTTGTATCTTTTTTGAGATCATTTACTGTATTCATTGATTATGTGATTCTTTTTTATCTTAACACAATCCACATTTGCTGCTTTCATGTGTTTTATTTATCTTGTCCTTGATATAATGGGTTCTTATTGCATTGTTTTGCATGACTCAGTTTCAGTGAAGGATTTTCTGAGAAAGTTATTTTAAGACTTTTTCTTAGTTGTGCATTCTCGGACATGAAGTAGAAAGGTTATATTTAATCAATTGCTATGTCTGCTGCTAGGACAGTTGGTTCCCTGTTTTGTGCTCGAGAATTTTTCTTGACAGAATCTAAGTGTGCCATTCATCCTTGCTTTGAATATTTCTGCTACATCAGATCTAGTGCTCCTGCTATATATTTATAGATTCTTGATAAAATCCAAAGAAGAATTCACAATGCTATTGGTCCTGATCTAGCGTCTTGACTTTTTTCCATTGTCATACCTTAGCTTCCATATTCCTTTTCTATAAATACTTTGATGGTAATTGTTCTAATGAACTTTTATTTATGGTACCTAGACTTTATGAATTAAAGTGCAGTACTAGATTGGCAGAAAGGTCTCATCATTTTGCAGTTGAAATGGTTAGATGTAACCATAAGTTCTATGCTAACAATTTCTTCTGTCACAGTTCTCACTTGTGTAACTCTCTTTTGGCTTCTTGCTTTACAGTCAACTTTGATTTGCAAAAATTTAAATTCAGCATTAATCATTATCTACTGTCTTCTTAAATTTTATTCCTTTATTGTTCTCTCTCTCTTAATAGTGTTTTTCTCATATTCTGTAACATATGATTATTACAATTCTGTAACAGTGATTATTACAAATTATGTAAGAATATGAGTAATAATCATTGGCAATATTCTTGCATAATGTTTTTTTAATCCTTCCTTGTTGATTTTACTATATGTCTTTGGTTTGTATTAGATTTTCACATCTGAAATGAGGTATTGTAACTATTTGCACTATTTACATTGTTCGAACTGTTTTCCTCATCTTTATCATCATATTCACAACGTTTTGGCTGTTGTACACTCTGGCCTTCATCAGGTGATATACACAGGAATTTCAAATGGCCCAGTGGATAAAAGCATTGGTTGAAGTAATTTAGTGACTTGACCCAATGAGTTGTGAGTTCAATACCTTGCCATGGCAGAGGTGAATAAAAACTTGGAGAGTTGAGTTACTAAAGGGAGATAACTGAAACTGAGATATCCAGAAGAGGCACGGCACATGGAACGAGAACAGTAAACTAAATAAAATTCAGAATTCCAATGAAGAAGGCTGGAGTGTACAACAGTCGAAATGTCATCAATATGACAATAAATATGAGGACAACAGTCTGAACGATGTAAATAGTATTAAATTTTATTTGAAGTGTGCCAACTTTTGGAATCATCTACTGACTATGTTTGTTTTCATTTTATCACTATAAGTATTGATTGATTGTTTTTTTTTTATGATTTATCAACCTTTTGTAGGTAATTTAAAGCAAAAACATATTTTTAAGTTGTAAGAATAATTCCTTTGTTTATGTAATCGAATAAGTATGTTTTGGAGATAATAATTTTCAGATACAAACCTTAATATTTAACCCATAGATGGGAGAAAAAAGGTGAGTTCATACCTTTCCCAAGAGTATTTGCACATAAGTGAATGTAATGAACCCAACTAGAATTTGAACTCAGCTCTCTGATGTCTCATTCTGAGCTGTTAAACTTTACACCACATGCATATCCCAGCTTACAGCACCTGGTATTTACAAGTGGTCACCCATCTAAGTAGAGAACAAGCTTGACATTGCTTAACTTTGGTGATCAGATGAGAACTGGTGATTATTATAAGTAATCCATATCTATTATTACTAGTCAATAACAAAAAGTTATGTATTTGCTTTATCATTAATTCCAAATCAATCACACCTTAGAATAAATAATAAAAAAAAAATTTGTGAACAACTTTTGATGTACAAGGCCAAGAGTGACTCAAGGCAGAGGGTTACAGAGTAATAGGCACGGTTTATGTGAGTAAGATAACGTTTAACCCTAAACTTGAACAGGTTAAGATTGTAATGATCAGAAAAGCATCCTCTTGGGGAGTCGGTTCCACAAAGCAATGGTTCATGGGAAGAAGCTGCTTGAGTGGAACTTATGTCTCACCAATAGAATACAAAGATAATGAGGGTGGTTCGCTACAATGTGCATAGCATGGCAGTGTCTTAGCTGAGAAGGTTAGAACTTGTGGGACTAAGGAATGTAATTCATCTGAACACCTTCCGTGGAAATAGTAATAGAGCAGTGGCAGGCTTGCAAAGTTTCATTTGAGAGAGAGAGGTCATAGGGTGGAAAATAATTTGTTACTCACAAGGTTGTGGTGATGGAAAGTGAAGACTGTGAAGCTCCTGCTTATATATAGCAACAGTACTCCATTTTTGGCCTGCTCTGTCTCTTGTAAAGGATAGCAGGAGGAGTCAGCTACTTACTACAGGGAGCAGTACAGGGAACCAATTTTTTTTTTCAGAGTCTTTAGCATTGGATCATATGTATGAGTTCTACTTGAGGTCTGGGCTGAGTTTGCCACAAGGAACATTTGTTCATGGTGATTGGTGATAGTTCTGGGTCTAATCAGCAATGATGGAATGTAACTAGTTTTGGTTTTTGAGATGTGATCAGCCGGTTTTTCTTCCATTGAGCTGTTGGAGCTAGATCAGAGGAGAGATCAGCTGCCAAGTCTAATTAATAGAAGCTGTAATGATTTTTTTGCATATGCTTTTGTGAAAATCAGATCACATCCCTATCATCATCTTGCGGCCTCAGCCGAGATTGAACTCACCAATACTTTGATTGGTGTAGTTCATAATCTTGTCAAATGGCTGAATTCTTGATGCTTCGCTAGGGCTATCAAGGGTGTTTTTATCGTGACACCATTATTAAATGGATTGCCAACCAAGGCTCAGAGAGACTCCATTCACCCTCCTCTAAGAGCAGGTTTGAATTCAGAGTTTTCCTTCTCCTAGACCAGTTACCATCCAAGGCTATAGAATCCAGTCTGTCCTGCTATTTACCCATAGCTAGGGGGAGAAGAAAAGGATTCATACCTTTCCCAAGGTTATTAGCACGTAAATGAATGTAATGGATTCAACTGGAATTCGAACTTGGCTCTTCAATTCCTCAATCCAAGCCGCTATCCATTACTCCACTGTGCCTCCCCTCCAGGACAACATAGTTTTGAATTCAGATTAGTACTTCTTTTATAATGGTCATAATCTCTTTATTTTTACCTGTTAATTTACAATTGTTATAGTTATCATCTTAATTTCTGTTCTTTTATTGTTCTTGCTCCTTACTAATGTTTTTATTATATTCTCTCACACTCAATAATCCCCTTGTGTCTTAGTGGCTTTGTTGCCTTGCTTGAGGTGTAATGATTAAAAAACTAAAAAAAAAAACTTTTCTGAATATTTAATGTAAGTCAGTTATGTGCCATGTGTAATACACACATAGGCGATCATGTATCTTTTGATACATAACCGATGAGGCAGATTTTTTCCTGCAGTAGGTTGCCATTTCTTTCTGCAGTAGACCAGTTGTCATCCAAGGCTATAGAACCTGGTCTATCCTGCTATTTACCCATAGCTGGAGGGAGAAGAAAGAGGATTCACACCTTTCCCAACGGTGTTAGCACGTAAGTGAATGTAATGGATTCGACTGGAATTCGAACTCAGCTCTCCAATTCTTCAATCCAAGTCGCTATCTATTACTCCACCGTGCCTCCATGCATCCCTATAAATCACTGCCAAATAAATACTTGTAATGTTTATATTGGTACATTGTAAGGTAGATATATGAACAAGTTAGCAAGCAGAATAAGTATTATTCTGCAACATTCATTGCTAATAATCAATATCTGTTTAACTCACTAATGCCCACTGTCCTCTTTTTGAGAGTGTCGCCATTGTCCCTTCAATATATAAGCAGTCAAACGTACATCTTCACTACCATTGTAGCGCTTAGCAATATTTGTCTTTTTGCTATCTCTCCTAATCCCTGTTCTACCATCCAGTTACACAAGACCATTAAGTTGGCTACTTGCCGCTTTCCAATAGCACTCTTGTTCTGCGAGTGTCAGGTTTTCCAAGCTGATTATGACTTCCAGAAATTTCAATCTTTTTTTGATTTTAAGCATAAGCATCCGTTTTACTTCCATTTAACTTAAAATTACATCATTGCACACATGCTCCATCCGTGGTATTCTCAGCATTCTTCTGTAGAACCATATCTCTGATGCTTGTCTCTTTATGATTCTAAGTATCAGTGTCCTTTTTGATTCTATTTTCTGTAAAACTTCCACATAGCTCACATGCTCCATCCATAGTATTTGCAGAATTCTTCTATAGAACTACATCTCTGTTGCCTGAAGCCTCCTCTTCATCTGTGAAGAAATTGTACTGGATTTTTATAAACCTATAATTAATATCGGATTTTTCATTTTTTGATATTACCAGATTTCTGTCATGATAACTGGGAAGAAATTTTTCCATTTTGAAAAAAAAGTAAGAAAATTATCCTGGTCCCAAGTGGTTAAACCTACACAACAGTTGAAGGAGAAGCTCTAATACTGCAATATGTGTAGTGTAGTAGGATTAGGTAGTAATAACGCCGAATGAAAATATACACTTTCTTCTTTACTAAGTAAGTGACAAAGAAAACTCTCTCTCCCTCTCTTCTATATATTTCCTTTCCTTTCCTTCTGTCTATTGTTCCTATCCTTGGTAACAGACATGAACCCAGACTTACTTTATGTGGGTCAGTGAATGTCATAAAAAAATCAACCAATGACAACATGTCTCACCAAAAATCAAATCGGAAACACGGATGTTTCAGCCCCAATAAAAAGAAGAAAACCATGTATGAGACTAGAGTGGCCGCAGTGTAAGGATTTAAGGTAGCAGTTTGAGATGCAAGGGTTGGTGATTCATTGGCTGTGAGTTTGACCTGACGTACAAGTCCAGAAGACAAAGGAGAAAGGATGAATTCAACAAAGTAATTTCCATCAACCTGAAGGAACACAACAACTCTGTACGAACTCTCAAATCACAAAAGAAGTTATTATGATGATATTCAACCATTTTTAACACTGTAGCCAAATGGAGTCAACAATAAATGGTACTATACAGAGTAAATTTGGCCTTTACTTTATCTCTATATACCATAGTAGTTTCATATCATAATTCTGTAAGTTTTGTCCATAGAGAAAAGATGCATTAATTAATATATTAGGCAGCCATCATGACAAGAACAGAGCATTAAAAAATTTCTAAAACAAATGAAATTATGCCATAATCTAGTAGAATATCAATCGTCCTGGATATGATGATAAAATACATCTGGCAGCAAAGCCTCTGATTGAGAGATTGTAGGTGTTGAGAAGGGGAGAACCACCTCTTAATTGCAGTTCTTCTCAGGTCCACCTACACAGAAGATGGTAACACCTGTTAGGGTCCAAGCTATGGGCAAATAGTGAACACCCAAAACAAAATTCAAAACACTAGGAAAGTATAAAAATACCTTTTTATAGTCAAAATACCAGCAATACATTTTTATTCAAAAAATTACCAACAATACATGTTTATAGTATAGTAAAATGGGAGGCAATACATTTTATATCAAAATGACCAGCAATATATTTTATGGTAAAATGATAAGCAATATATTTTATAGTAAAATGACCAGTAATACATTTTATAGCAAAATGACCAGTAATACATTTTATAGCAAAATAGCCAGCAATATATTTTATAGCAAAATGACCAGCAATACATATAAAGCAAAATGATAAGCAATATATTTTATAGTAAAATGACCAGTAATACATTTTATAGCAAAATGACCAGTAATACATTTTATAGCAAAATGACCAGTAATACATTTTATAGCAAAATAGCCAGCAATATATTTTATAGCAAAATGACCAGCAATACATATAAAGCAAAATGATAAGCAATATATTTTATAGTAAAATGACCAGTAATACATTTTATAGCAAAATGACCAGTAATATATTTTATAGCAAAATAGCCAGCAATACCTCTTAAAGCAAAATTATAAGCAATATATTTTATAACAAAATGAAAAGCAAGTATATTCTATAGTAAAATAACCAGCAATACATTTTATAGCAAAATAGCCAGGAATACATTTTATAACAAAATTACCACCGATGCATTTTATTACAAAATGATAAGTGAAATATTTTATAGCAAAATAGCCAGCAATACATTTTATAGCAAAAGCACCAGCAATACATTTTATAGCAAAATGATCAGGAATATATTTTATAACAAAATGACCAGCAATACATTTAAAGCGAAAGAACCAGCAATACAGTTTATAGCAAAATGACCAACAATACATTTTATAGTAGAATTACCAACAATACATTTTATAGTAAAACTGAAGACATGGCACACATTGTCAAAATTTGCTATGATTAAACTCACTTCTTGTAAGGAAAAACACGTTTTCACCCCTCATTTGATTTTGTAAGATTATTTGGTTAAAAAAATGCAGTTAAGTAATTATAATATAATCATGCAATAATGTCATTCTCTTGAATTAATTATAAAGTCTGAATTTTCAAATTTAGATTTTGGCATTAAATAATCTATATGGTTTGATATGCAGCTAAACGAAAACAACCAACAACTAATAGAACATCGAGGTACCATGCTGGGTCTTCCACTGCCTTTCTTGAAACATTAGGTTTACTTGGTAAATTTATGAGCTACTTTACCTCAATAGACGCTAAGTACATAACATCATTACACTAAGTCACATT